AAATGGGAAAAATATTCAGTGTTGTGTTGGAGTGAACTTGAAAAAAATATTTCAAAGATGAGTGCTTGAGTTGCTAAGCTGATGGCAGTAATGTCTTCCTTTCATCCAGTGTGTTCAGAACTCCTGTGAAGAATGAGTGTGGCTCAAGATCCATTTTTTTTTTTACTACATTTGAAGGAGTTTGTCACATTTACTAACTTTTGAAGAAGGCGTTCTAGTCCTACCAAAAAATGTCTCTTATTCTGCACTCATTCTTGTTTTAAAATTTCACTTTCATCAAAATACGTGGCTGTTTTTTGTTGGCACTGGAAGCAAGAACTGGGCTGCTACTCCTGTGTCAATGAATACTTGGCTCTGTTCTTTGTCATTGCATAGAGAGAATTATTTGAGAATTATGGATCCTGAGCTATCTTATAAGTTGATCACAAGTGACCTATCGAAAAAAATTTGTCTGAATTCAGGAAAGGGAGAGAGGAATTTCAGTGTGCGGTTATTGGAACATCCCAAGCATTTTTTGAACCACCGGGAAAATTACAAGCACTGTGTTGTATTTTTTCAGTCAACATCTGAGCTTAAGGGACAGAACTTGAAGTAAATTTTAAGAACTTTGAAGAGCTAAAGCTATGCTTTTTTAACAAACAAATTACTGTACCAAAAAAAGGGCAAAATACATTTCACCAAACCTCTCATCTTCAAACCTACAGACCTCTTCTGGTTTTGAAACACAGCACAGACTTCTAGCCTATTTGTATTTGTATCAAAGAAGTTAGAATGTGAGCTCTACTTTGCTGTGGAATCAGGCATCTCATGCTTATGTCCAGAATTTGTGTCATATACTTTCTCTGTCTAAATAGTAGGGAATATTCTAACTTTATCCATATATTTCTTTTCCCTGTGTTCATAGTGAACTGATGGTCTGTGTCAAGCTTTTCATCATCCTCTCCAAGACCTTCTCTGCAGGGCCGTTCTCAAAGAGTTCTTTTCCTAGTATGTACACATATCTGGCATTGTCCTGACCCATGTGCAAACACCTTGCACTAGGCTTTGTTGAACCTCATTAGGCTGATTTGGGGCCATTTCTCAGGCTTGTCCAGGTCCCAGGATGGCATCCTTTCCTTCTGTTGCATCAGCTTTGCCACTGGTCTAACTAGACAACTAACTAGACTAGACTTTTGTGTGCTGCGTGTGCTGTCAAGGCTTGAAGAGTTAATTATGCAACACCCCTACCTCCCCATGGGAGAAGTGAGGGGAAATAGGAAAAAACAACTTGTCAGAGATAAGGGAACTAATTTATTAAACGGAATGTGAGATAATACAGAGTAATTAAGAATAATAAATCAAATGAACCGAAAACAGGAGGAAAGAGAGAGAGTCCAAGCCCTTATTGGCCAGCACTCAAGACTGGCCTCCTAGAAGGGCAGAGAGCTCTGTCTCATCACCCAGATTCAGAAATCATATGGGGAATTCTGGAGACTTCTGGGAGATTTTAGTTTGTCTCTTCTCAGTGTATCCACCTCTAACAGAGCTGGAATCCTTGTGAGAATAGCTGAGACTGCCAGAGCTCATACCCAGGAAATGCATTTCCCCTGTGCTTTGCTCCAACACCGAACAGCTTGCTGCATAATGTCATGATATGGAATACTGATAAAACCAGGACAGTGTGCACTAAATTCATCTGTCTATGTTGTTGATAAAGACATTGAAGAGCACTGGTCCCAAAACAGGTCCCCCAAGGGACACCACTTGTCACCAGCCCCCACCTGGAGACATTGACTACAGCCCTCCAGCTATGACCATCACATCTCTACAAAATGTGTTAGGTTCTACTTCAGGGGAAAAAAAAGAAAAAGAAAAAACTGGCAAAATTGTTGCATAAAATGTGTTAAAAGAGTGTGAAATGATCTATGAGATCATCTTTAACTTGTCACCTGCAAATCCTTGGCCAGACCCTGGTTTGCTACTAGGCCTCCTTGCTACCACTTTGGGTGATACTGATGCAGAATGGAAAACGAAATATGGAGTGGAAATTTGTTTTCTATCAATGCAAAGCTACTCCTCCACATCTCTAGTACCTAAGAGGGACTAGGCTTCTCAGAAATGCGTGCAGGAGTGAAAAATAGTGGGGAGAGAGACTGTGAATAGCCTGCCTTTGGTCTTCAGAGATCCTGCTGCTTTGAAGCACTAGTTCTGGCAGTTCTTTTTTCTCTTTGCCAGTCTTTGAAATTCTTCAAAATGGAGCTCAACCTTCAAATGGTAACAGAAGGAAAACAGTTTGGAGCATGTGATTTTCATCTACCTTTCCTATTCTTCAAACTTGCTTTTTGGAAATGTCGAAGAGTTGAGCAGGGCACTGGTCAGACAAAAGCACGGATGAGAATAGAGGCGACCTGGATACTATTTTCTGCTCTTTCACTGGCATGTTACATGACTTTGGGGAAAATCAATTCCCTGTTGTTCTTTTTCTCTTATATAAAACAGGAGGAAATAAATTTTACAGTGGATTTTGATTGCTTTCAGATTTTCTGATGAATAATCCGAAAGAGGAACAAGTCAGTGTATCATTGACCACATGAGTACTACTGAATCTGTAATAATATTTCTTCCTCTTTGTCAGTTGGGGACACAGGAAGAATACCTGTTTCCACATTTTTCATTGCATTTGCCCACACCCAAGACCCTAGGCCACTGATGTTATGTAGCAGATACTTTTCACAGGTCAGATTAAGGAGCGATGAAGTAACAGAGCATGCAAGCATCCCACTGTGCTCTTGAAACTGGAACTTCATTCTTGGTAATGATCTATGTGGCCTTGTGTTTACCTTAGAAAAATAATTTGTGAGAGAAAAGGAGAGATTTGGAAAGAAAGGAAGTATTGCTGTTATTAACCTCTTAATGTTTAGTGAGAATATGTCACTGAAGGCCTAATGGTGTTTAATATATAGAATCTTCTAATTAATAAATGTGTAATTGTCAAAGATGTTTTATAAGTTATGAGAAGGGGTACAATTGTTCACAAATGTTTTCACTGAGATTGTTTTAAAGTCAGTTAAAATTGCCTTTGAGAGTAGAGTTGCACTAAAAAGAGAGGAGAGATGGAAAGAAGAAACCCCAAAACAGGGTCTTGCATAGTCTAGAGTTTCAGGAGAGAGAGGAAAAGGTCTGGTTATCCAGAGCCAGATGCATTGTTAAAAGTTCATACTATCACTTTGACATTTAGAGTAGGACTCAGTGTCTTTGTAAATTCCTCTTCGTATTACCAGTGTAGGTCTCTGAGCTCGGACTGTTTCACAAACCATAACATTTTTTAGCGGGTGATTGATCTGTATTATGTGTCCTAGCCATCAGAAGAATCTTGGGATGTTGCTTGTATAAACTGTAATACAATCTGATCTCCGGCATTTTGTTACAGACTTTCATAGACCTATTGGCGATACTCAATCCTCCTGGATTTGGGAATAGTGCTTATCTGATACCTTCGGAAAAAAAAAAAAAGAATGAAAGAAAGAAAAAAAGAAGAAGAAAAAAAAAAGCTCTCATTTTCTCTGTTCCCCACTTAAATAACTCAACACATCTGGTAGCACTGTAGGATCATTGTCCTTTCAGTTCCTCTGCAGTTCATATTGCTACAATAATTCTTAGGGATCTAGTTTCCTAAAGGGCAATGTGATTTTTTTTTTTAGGCTGTTTTTATAGGTCTTCCAAATTAACCCATATGCATTGCAAGAAAAAACATGACTTTTAATCAGCAGCATTTCTAAAGTTAGCGCTTGCTCTGTGTGTATGAATATGTATATGAACCAGCCTTTAAAAAAAAAAAAAAAAAAACCCACAATCTTTCTGCTCGTACTGAAAACTAGTATGCAAATGTGTTTTTATTATCAAATAAAGTCTGCCTATATGTTAAAATATCTTTCTGTTAGGGGTTCTATCATTTGAGTTCTTGTGTTCAGTTACAAGAATGATAAAAACCGAAACTAAATCTTTTAATTCAATAAGAACAAGGCTGAATTTAGGAAGCAAAAAGGGGAATCAGATATAGAATCATATGCATAGGAAATGAAGCATTCAAGAAATTAAAACTACAGGGGTAGCCTTAAGGTGTGCTTATTTGAAATGCCTGCATTTAATTTTACAGTAAATCTGAGTATTTTGTTCCAATTAAGACAGTTCATGTGCACAACTCTAAACTGTACAGTAGTTCCAGGGAGACCATGGAATGCTTGTTTTACATTCTGGATCAAGTTCAGATTTTTAGGCTTCACTTGAATAAAATAAAAAGTTTGAACCCTGAAGATAATACGGATTGATAAATTTGATTTAATCATTCCCGTGTTGCAGACTTCCAGTGTATGTGGTACAGCTGAGCCTCAGGCCATGCGCTGAGTACATCCACAGTGCATTCCCAGGACACCCGAATACCAAATGATCGCATTTGAAAGGTTACCTTTCCATGGATTCTGACTTTTCTGTATAGGCGCGAAGATTAGGATTTTAACAGCTCCCAATGAGAGGCATTGTGAAGTATTTACTTGGCAGGAAAAAAGAACAACAAAACAAAACTAAGCCCAGATGAGGTATTGTCTTATATTCGTGAACTGGGATTTAGTAGCTCTGTGAATGTCCTGTGAATACACTCTGTCGTTCATACTTCAATTTTTTTATCCCTTTTTTTTTTTTTTTAATATTTCTTTAAAAATATTGGGTTTTATATACTACTATCCTTTTTTAATTTTTTTAAATATTGTATTTTATAGATTACTTAAAACTTTGATAGAAGAGTTTCAGCAGTATAGGCTGAATAGGAATATAGCAGGAATACAGGATCATGCTTGTGTAGAATATATCCTGGTAGGTCCTGCAATCCCTCACATCTAGCTTTCTGCAAAGGAAGTAGTAAACTATTTACCTCTCTAGAAATCTGGCAGTAGCTTTTCTTTAATTATGACTAAATTTACGGGTAAAGATAAGTCTGTTTTTTTTTCCCTCCTTTTCTTTTACAGGTTGTGGAACTCATATCAAGTGCTATTGGTGATTTAGTTCAAGGTATCTACTATGAAAATTCAAGATCATCTGAGGTAAGAATTTCAGTAATTTTACATACTGGAGACATTTGGTGATATTAATGTGAGTACAGTAAATGCTGCAACTTTTTAATCTGAAATGGAAGAGGAAGGGGAAGGAAGAGAATGAGCTGCAGTCATGGCGAGGTTCAGCAGTAACGTCACTGTGGCACCTGTGAACACTGAGCCTTTCCAGAAATGCTTTAGTGTGGGTTTTTTTCAGTGTTTAAGTTTGATAACTTGAACATCTGTTTTGTGCTGAGGAGTTAGAAATGCAGTACCATGCTTTTCTCCACTGTAGATCGTGTGCATGTATTACAGAGTCGGTGTGGGCAGAGACAATAGCCAGTGTTTCACACCAAAGAATCATTTCTCTCTTCAAGGGCAATTGTGGATGTCTTGTGTCACTGTCCTGTGTTTTAATTTGTGTGGCAAAAACCATAATGAAGATCTAGCAAATCAGATCTAGATGCTTTTGTCTTTCGTAGAATATTTAAGGAAATTTGTACAGATACAAAAAGTTTACATGAAGTAAGTTGGCATGAGCAGGATGTTGGAGCAAAACTGAGTTCCATTTTGTATTGCCTGTATCTTAGCATGTACAAAAATTGATATTTTAAAATTGTCATAACCTCTGCAGGTCTTAAATAGCAAGTTTTCACAGTATGGCAATGGTCAGCAATGTGTATATGTAAATATGTATCTTAAAATCTACTGCAGTATATAGTTTTATTTCTTCTGATGTTTTCTCATGTGCCTAGTTTGCCTCAGACACTTCTGTCTTCATGTTCAGTGTATAAGATGGCAGAAGTTTATGAATACATTTGTATGTGCTGTGTATTCAGATTACTGTTCTGGCTTTCTATTGCCGTGTTGCAGTGTGCAGCACAATAAATCATCAGCTCAAACAGGTTACTGCCACAGTAGGTACCTGCATGGGCAGCTCCACACCAGGCAAAACCAGGCTGTGGGCTAAGCAGAGTGTCAGGCTGTGGATGTGCGGCAGCTGGGCCACAGAAGGTGGCATACAATGAAGGCATATTACTTCCTTGCTTCAGCTTATCCGTCTTCTGGCTAAAACCAGTTAGCAGGGAGTGCTCACGCTGATCTACTGAGCAATTCCCTCTGAGGAGGTGAGGGCCTCCAGCAAGAGAGCTGTGCTGGGTGCTGCAGGTAAGGGACGATGTGCATGGAGCCATCTCCTGGCACCTCTCCACGGTGGAGGTGTGGGAGCACCTTCTGGGTTAGATCTATGAGTAAGCAGCACTTCAGCCTGTAGGTTGCTTGCAAGGATGGCGCTGGGGGTTCTGCAGTAAAGTAGATAGTATCTTTGAGATCTTTGCAAAGGAGCTAAATTGTATTTTCTGTGTTCAGGCAGTTTTCTAAATACAACTAAGCCCCAGATACATTGCATGTAGAAGAGCAATAGCTACTTTTATTGGTAGGAGCTCTACTAGTTGATCTCATCAGTGAGACTGTATTTTAACAATGGGTGCTGTATAAATGAGAGGTGTTGAGGATCCTGCCATCACAGAGGGTCAAACTCTTCTTTTTCTTCATTTGGCAAAGTGCCGAGCTGACAGTTCTGGCACAATTACATCATCTTAGATGAGCTTGAAAATAGTTGTTTTCTATTGCAGTACTGAAGCACTCCAGATGTAGATTGCAGAGGAAGTGTGAGATACACTGAGTACAGCTGCATGGCGTTTGCCTACCCTGGCCCAATTACAAGTAGGAAATACTTTGTTTTAGTGACTTATTCTGTCCAACAAGAGCTGGAAGTACATTTCTCCTTCCTAGGAGAAATCCAGTTAACTCAAAACAGAATTTGTATGATAGCATAATAGGTACTGAAAATTACATGATAGTGCCTGAAGTTTAGTTTTATAATGTATGTGGCCTCTTGAGACCGAGAGCAAAGAAGTGTAGCATTTTTTTTTCTTTTTCTTTAATTTTGCCCTTTATGAAATGTAGCTTCTTGTTGTGTGTTTAGATGTATCCCTGCTGTTTTCCTTGCTATTCTGCTGTGACAGTGTCCCATTCATGTGCTGACCATCTCTTTAGCAGAGATTGCAAAATGGTTTAAGTCAGTTATTAGTCTTATTTGTACCTTTTGTGCATCATCTTTCCGTCACCAACTGTCATTTGACCAAAACCAAAATTTGAACGACATTTCCTGGAGGTAAGACAAATACTTTAATCTACTCTGCAACTAAGCCTCGAATGTCAAGCTTACTTTCTTTTAATGGTAGGGCATAGGGATGTTAGTAATGACATTTTCATTGCTAGGAATATCTTAAATTTAGAAAAGTGGAAGGATGTCTTCTCACTTTTTTTTTTTTTCCTGAGGCAGAAAGGTTGTGGTTCTTATGTTAAATATGCCTTTAACACAATCGTTATAAAACTTTTCAGTAGCATAAAATGGACTCATTTCTTGTTCAGCACTGAGTTGTTTGAGCTTTGCTAGATTTTTTTTTTTTGTCTTTTAGTTCAGATAAAAATAACTTAGCAAAATTCACCTTTCCCCTTTGAGATCCTAAGTGCATGTTTATCCAAGAAAGTATTTTCAGCTTGCTTCATTTGGATGACCCTACGGGAAAATTAAACGGATCTTTTGACCTGACAAGGCTGACCTTATTTACTACTGAAGATGTATAACGGATATAATGATTCTACAGCTCTCATTACCACTTCTCTCTCTGTAAAACTGCATGCAGTCCTGCAGCCATCCCACTGTAGTATGTTCTGCTTGGTTGTTCTTGATTGGATCTTTGCAGTGAGTCATTAGATCTGTGTAAAATGGGGGAAAATAAAGATTCAGTGTTTTAACTTTTCATCTTTATTTGCAGTGGCAGTTCTACCTATAAAGTGTTGTGAGCATAACCTAAAGATTAGGGCTGCCACTTTCGTTGCAAGTAGTTTATAAATGTGGTTGAAGACATTGCATTAATGGCTTAAGCTAATGTTCTGAACTGTAAACTGGAGCAGGAAGGGGCAGCGCAATAAAATTTTTGCAGCTTTGTGCTAAATCCCATATCAGAACTCAAAATTCTGTGACTAAAGGACACCGTTCCTGCTTCCCATCCGCCTCTCCTACATCTAGTTCTAATTTGGAAGTAGAAGTGTATGCCCTTAGTGAGTGCAATGATTATATTAGCCTAACATGGCCCTCCTTCTTGATCATAGTGTCTGTTTTTAACAGAGCAAAACATTGTGCTGGATCTCTAATTCCTACTTTTAGAAGACTGAAGGCTTCTGAAATGTTGCTAGCTCACAGAATACTTTTGCACTCTCAGAAATATTCTGTCTTAATATCCCAGATCATTTAACAAGTATTTGAGTGTTTTGGATCTCGTATGTTACTTGGCAGACTGTTTTTTATAGAATTACGGATTTCCATGGGAAACTGTAGTGTTCTTTTTTTTTTCTCACCTTCAAATTATCCAGCTGATGCTAGATGTGTGTTACCAAACCTCATTTTTAGTATCAGAATGAGACTGTTACATAAGATATTACTTTTTCAAAGATATTCTTCTGGTGGCTGGTAAGTGTTTTTGAAATTTTCCATTGAATTGTTTGAATAAGTATGTAGAATTAGTATGTAAAACAATTATGAAAAATAAATCTCTTTGTAGCAAGTACTTGTTGTACCGGATAGTGAATTAATCAATGTTAACAGGCATAGACTAATATGGAACAGAAACTTATTTTCCTGCAAAGCATAGCTATATGCAGTGAGCTATACCAATTCTTCATTCATGTTTGATCACCAGTCCTGCTTTGAGGAGTTGTGTTTTGGGATTCTGCACGTGTTCGTCAACTGGAATGTTACAGGTATATGTTGCAAGTAATGCATTTGCTTATAAATTTTACCACAGAGGGTAAATCAAATGAATTATGAGTCATGCTAACCACCTTTTAGCAGGGCAGCAGTCAGAGCTCTTACTTTTTTTTGTTTTGTTTTGTTTTTAATATGTTTCTTTTGCGAGACGAAAGGGAATGATAAAATATGGAATCTGAGTAAAAAGCATCTGTGAAAAGAATAGGTGAATGTGTCGGGGTGGGGGAAAGCATCGCTGGAAAGAAGGCCATTGCTACTTGTTTATTCCTTTTGTTCTTTGAATACTGGGCTTTTCCAGGAGATTTAAAAGTAGCAGATGTGAAGAGAGGTTTTAATTTACTATAATTTTTCAACTGTTTTTTTTATTTTTTTTTACACTGTGTCACAGTAAGAAGTGTCAGGTAGTCAGTGGCAGTGGCATGCTCTATTGACCCATTTGCAGATTCTCTCCAAAAATATAGAAGACATATATTAACAGACCAATAAAAGATGCCTTGTCATGTCCAGGAAGCAGGAATACATCTGTTTAAAGCTTGTATGAACCGTATGCAAGATGTTTTGCAAGGTCTTGCTGTAGTTAGAGAGATCTGTAACTGGATTTTACTTATGTGAAATAGACATTCCTGAACTATCTAATGTAAAACTTTTAAATGGTAGAACTATTTCAGAATATTTCTCTGTGTTTATGTGGGTTATTTGCCCGTTGAGAATTGAGCTATAAAGCTCGGTATAAGAGTGGTTCAGACATCTTGATCATTTTGTGAGACACCAGATGGCTAAGAAAGAGCTGCCATCGTATTGATTAAAATAAAGCTTCCCTTTATGTGATCTATATCTGACTTCTACTCTTTCCTGTTTTTGCATATGATTTCGTGCACTTCTAAGAAACAATTTTCATTCATGTTTCTCTGAATATGTTTTCATCCGAACTCATGTTACCATTTTCTCTGGTGTGGCAAATCAAACCGCTTTTGCACTGGGGATACTTGTAACTGTAACTATGAAGACCTGTCCCTCTATGACTGCATATTTTGTTCTGCGAGTTCATTTTCTGACAGTTCTACCTTTCCTGTTGCCTAGGATGCTTGTTCCAGACTTAATTTAAATTACAGAAATCGTTTAAGGGAAAGCTTCTCTCAACTATCCAATTTCTTTCTCACAAGACAGTAACTGACCTTGACGTTAATAAAAGTGGGAGCACCCTCAGCTGCTCTTAATTTCCCTCTTCCAGGTACTGCTTTGAAAAATTAGTTTTTAAAACACTGATTCTTGAAGTTTTTAAATTGTGAGTGTGAATTGTCAAAACATGTTCACAAGAAAAGCAAACCTGCTGTTAGACCCTTGAGGACCATTTTTCTTGAGCATAACTGGAGTAGAAGTGATCGACAAAGGTGCTTCAGATATGTTCATTGTGCTCCCATGCCAGCACTCCTCAAAGTGTATCTGGACCTGAATTGACTGCTTTTTTTCAGGGACGGTGAGGGATTCACCCAGCCTCTGCTGCACGAACAGCATGAGAGTTGATGGGGATCTGGACCCATTTCTTGAGGGCATAACTTTGTAATGAGGTCGCTCTGTAGGCATCAGATGTCTGAGCACTGTCCACTACAGCTAGAATTAATAAAGATAATAAACATCACCATTGCTTCAGATTTCACAACATCTTGAAACCAGAACTAGTTTCATTTCTTTCTTGATGCTTTATAGTCATGCTTAACTCTTAGCATAGGCACTGTAGGAGTACAGTGTCATTGGCATGCTACAGTTGTGTAGCATGAAATTTATCTTTGGGAAAAAATGCCATTTTGTTTGTAGGAAAATTTTGCTAAAGAATGGTTGTGTTTGCCTCTATTCTCTTAACAAGCAGAAGCTTTAGAAATACATGGTCACAAGTGTGTGTGACTAAAATTAGCTATATTTTAGCTTGCAAACTTATATGCTAAGTCACATCCATATGAACATAATTCATTTTTAGACCTTGCTTCTGTAACCCAGGGATTCACAGTACATAAGACTTCAATACTACATTTTCTAATGTCTCAGATTCTCATCATTTTCCGGAAGTTATATGTCCGTTTCAGATGTATGAAGCTTTACCTTGTTCTCATCCAGTGGACAGGAGCTTCTTGTGCAGTCACTTCCAAACATTGTAGAATCAACTTCCTCATGTGTATCGAGTTGGAAGGACTGTTTAAGCTGCTTCAGTTCCTGCATTATTCGATAAAGTCTGCATTTCTCTTACTGTTCAAGGCCTCAGGCAATCTAAAATGTTCAGCTTGTGGATGTTCTGAAAGATATTTGAACTTCATAAACTGTTTAAAGATACCTTAATATTTTTGTCTTGCTTGGATTTAAAACAAATAATTATAAAAATCACTGCCAGTTTCCACTATCATCCAGCAAATTTTAGTAAATCCTGTTCTTTCTCTGAGCAGATTGGTTGTTAAGCAAAAGATTGTGTTGCGTCTTCCAAGAGCTTCTGATTTTGAATTTAAAATAAATGGATCTATATCTGATTGGAAGGGTGGAGGGAGGGACCTATAACTTGATACATAGGAAACTACTTGAATTAAATGCTCATTTTGACATTTTGCCAGCGATGGGAATTTGCACGTGCTCTGGGCTGAGTCAAGATATTAAAATTACAACAGTAAAATGAAACACAAGGATAATTCAGGCTTGACTTCGTAAGTTATCAAATACGTAATAGCAAACATGTGGTTTCTCTGATCTTCACATTCCTTGTATAAGTTAATCGTGTGTCTGAAAGCAGTGGAATTTTGATACAGCACTGTGTTATTTGGCATTGCAGAATTCTCCTACTTCTTCCAGTAGTCTCAAATTATTCTCTCCTTTGTAATGCAGCACTTCTGGGTGATATACATAAGGGAGAAAAATCCATGCTGAATGAATGGATTCTATTTCATTTGTTACCAATTTCATTACAGATAATAATACCTTGTGAGAAAACTATAGGGTCACGCAGAATTACTACGTGCTCATTGCTAAGTAACTTAATTGACATCACTTTGAAGGAAAATTCTTGTTATGTTGGAGATTTTTGCATTACTGTTTTGAAGAATGTTTTGGTTTAGTGTATGCTATAGGTTTGACTGAACTGAGAAATTACCAACTTTTTAACATTATTTTCTTTTCTGGAGTTTCTCTTTACTAATTTTAGGTTTTCATAACAAAACAATCTTTTGCATTTATTTATTTTTCTATTTGGAGAAAACCTACAGTGATGTGTATGTGTGAGAAAGTTTACATGTCGCATCTAGCTTTGGAAACTTATTAGTAAAATAGTGAAATACCAACACAAATGAATTTATGTTTGGGGAAGAGAAGATGGGATTCATGTTAACTAAAACACATTTCCATTTTGTAGAAAGTAATTCAAATTAGTGTTTTAGATATAGAGGATCTGGGGAAATGTTAAACATCTTTGACCTTAGAGTCAAGGTGATAAAGTTCACTAGAGACACCACTGCAATCACTGTCGCTCCTCTGGGGAAGTTAATACCTTTTCTAAAACATGGCTTTATTTATTTTGAAATGCTTTCAGTCTTTCCTGGGGAGGAAGAGGTATGACTCCTTCATCACTCCCCTTCATCTTTCCATTGCAGTTCTATATGCTTTTCTAATACTTTCTCCAGTGTTGTGGGGTGGGGTGTTTGGTTTTTTTTTCTTAACTGCAAAGAAGAAATGAGAGTGACTTCTGAGATGACATCCTGTTTGTTTGGGATTTCTGGTTCTTAGTTACTGGCGAGAGGCTGAAATACAGACGTAGTTTGCTTTCTGCTTTCTTTTTTCTCCCAGAAAAAAGTACCGCAGAGGGAGTGTAACTGACTGTTAATGTTCAGGGTAATAATAAAGTAGTGCAGAAAAGGATCTGTGTGGAATCTGTTGACAACTCCACATATTTTGTTTGTAGTTCTTTTTGAGCAGAAGATGAAAATGTTGTTTGTTGAAGTTTCAGGCATATTTATTCTGGTATTTTTCTCTACCTATCCGTAGAAGAACTTATATTTAGCACCTTGGCATCCAGAGTTTTGTTACTTACCGCATGTTGCATTTTCCTCTGCCGCAATGCTAACTTCCATGAGCTGACACAGTTGCAGTTTTGGTGTTTTCATTTTCACCTTTCTTTCATTTGCAGAACTGTCTTACAGATGACATTGGAATATCTACGTGGAAGGAACAGGTTTTCCTGTCACATAGTGCCTTGCTGGCAAAGAGCTGCCAGGCTGCAATGGAACTAGCAAAGCATAGCTCTGAGATTCAGGACATGGCATTTCGGTATGGAAAGCACATGTCCATGAGTCATAAGGTACACCTTTTTCTTTCAGTCTGTGATTTTAAAATTGGAAAAACTTGCAAGATTTGTTGGTCTTGAGCTCTGTTCTGTACCACCACTATGCCACAGACCTTTGTCAGCAGGTTAACGGTACTGAGAGACTTGACCACTGCCTGGTATAACGTTTGCAGAAACTGCTGATATGAACAGTGCTTATGAGCTTGCAAAATCACGCTTTCTGGCTGTGTGGTTTATTTCATTCGAGGCTCTGTTAAAAGTCCCTCTGATTCATCTGTCTGTAGCAGCTTAAAGCTTTACTTTCTGTGCTCCTGTGTTCTTCTTGAAGCTATAGTCCCAGCAGCAGGAATTGCAGCGGGAAGCAGGTGTTGGGTGCCAAGCTGCCTCCATGCATATGTTTGTGCCAATAAGTTCAGCTTCCTGCAGCAGCACATGAGACTGAGACAGGAGCTGCAGTGGCTGAAGTACCTGCATGTGTTCTCTTCTGGCTAATCTGCTGTGGAGCTAACTTCCAAAGGGAGTAAATGATGCACAGCGAGGGAGGTAACCAGATGAGAACAGTAGGAGCATAAACTTCTGCAGCAGTAGGATTTCCCAGAAAAAGTCTGATCCTCCCTCATGCTAGAGTGAGACAGCCACTGCAAAATGTCTGTGCAGGTTTAAGATTTCTACTTGTCCTCTGTGGGAGCTCACTGGCCTTACACAGAGGCGTATCTCTGGCAATTTCAGTTCAAGTCAGGAGTGCATCCACTTAGTCAACTTATGTTTTAGTTAAAGAATTAAGCTGCATTTTCTTCACTGAAAACTGGACGGAAATATTTTCTTCAGTCTTTCAGTCCACAGCTAGAGGTAGTACAAAGCAAAAGATTCAGATCTTCAGCACTCTTGTTTTGCCTCACATAACCACTCCATCTGTATTGCAGTACTTGTAAAGGAAGATATCGCTTGAGACAGGCAAACAGGCCTCCCATCCGCTCCTACTCAGTTGGTTTATGTGGTTTCTAGTTCCTCCAAGAAAAGGAAGTGGTTTTCAAAAGCAGGACTTCATTGACATACAAATACTGCTAGGCACTGCTCTGAGAGTAAACTACATCTAGTTCAGACTATAGCTTTAATATATTTAGTGTGTGCTTTAATATTAATTCTTTCTCTAGTGATTTATATGGTTGTGTATAAAGGATTACATGATTTTCATAGAAGGCTATTAGCTGTGTAATATTTCCTTTGTCAGAAAACACACCGTACTACATCAACTTCTTTGGTTACTGGAAGTAGATAGAGTGCATTGCCCTTAACAGATGAAAAACTGATCTTCCCAACAAAGACTAAATCGTTCTTTCTTTTATGGTTTTTTTTCCACTTCTTTCCATTCAACAATTCCTTACCTGACTGTCTCATCACTTGCCCAGCTCTGCAAGCTGTCCTTTACCTACTTATTTGGAGATACTCTATGTACTTGTCTTTATCACAGCTTTCTGCCACTGCAGTGCTTCTCCTTCTTCCTTTCCCTCCTTCAGTCTTGAAGTGCAACCAGAATGCAAGTGTCAAAGCAGAAAATGGCAAGTAGCTATAGAATTGGGAAATGGGCTTTGAATTGGCAGATGTGAATGTATAGTCTGCTTCTGGAAGTTGAAAAAAACTGTTCTTTTCTTTCAGCTGCATTCAGACCTTCAGCCATTTGTTAAAGAAAGTTCTAGTGATGCCATGGCCTTCAGTTTGAATTGTGCTCCTGCAGTCCTTCATCAGGAATTCCTTGGAAGGGATGCATGGATTAAACAGATCAGAGAGGTAAATTAAAACATTGTTTAGAGTTGCCAACTTCTGTCATTTGCATCTCTCTTCCCGTCTGTGCTTTCAATCTACAGAGAAACTCAGAAACTGACATCAGATGAGATAATGCAAAGGTTATTACCTCTACTTTCCAATACCTAAAACCACTCTCTTTCATTATTTCAAGAGGGTGAAATCAGAGGAGCTGACAAATGAGCTCTTTACGACTTCTGTGTGTCAGTGTAACGAGCAGATTCACTTCCATGGAGCATCTGTCCCTTACTATTTGTGCAAAGTTCTATATCTTAGCTTAAACCTACTTTCAGTGGCAGTGTAATGCCACCAGAGTGGTCAAAAGGTAAGTACATGTTTTCTTCGGCTAACTTTTCTCTGGGATCTGTGATTTTCAACAGAGGGAAAAGACCTGGGAGGCATGGCTTCCTGACCACTACAAAGTATTTGAGAGGCCTAGCTGGTTGATGTCCTCATGCTCAGTTCTCTTCATTCAGTTATTTTTCCTCTAACACATAAGGTAGGATATAAAAGTAAGATGGCTGCGTAGCATATTTCTGTTCTGCATTACCACATAGAACTGTGGCATTCCAGCCTATGAATATTTCCTGTGTGCTGAAATACAAATAGATAATGATACAGGAGAGCAGGGAGGAGAAAGAGGGGAAGACACAAAAAAATATGACCAGTAATAAGCATTCTGTTGTGTTCCTGTATCAGACAGACATGTTTTGCCTGTCTAAACAGCTGTGATGTGTACTGTTCGGAAATTCCTGATGTTGTTACACTGATTCTTCAGGAGAAAGTCTGCTGCCTTTGGTAATAAGCTAGCTCCCTGCAAACACATTCTTTTAAGATGCTTGTTGATGGCTTCTTTCCTTCTTGGTTTGAAAGCAGAACTGAGCATCGCAGGATGTAAGGTTTGAGCTTCTGCCTAATTCTCCATTTATGGTGGCCAGGTTGCAGTGGTACTGTGTGTGAATCTTGAACCAAAACAAGCTTTATGTCAATTTGAAATTAGACGACGATGTTTCATAATGTATGATGAGAAATTTTCAAATTCTGCAGTCTCAACACAAGGCTCAGATGTGAGTTGAATGTAAATGGATTTAGATGATTGCAGTTGGAGAATAATGGTATTACCACAGCGCACTTTATAAAGGCTTTGAAACCATTTCCCATCTGCAGAATCTAGAGGAGGTTGCAGGATTCCAGGAGTGCCGTCTGTCTCCTTGCTAATTCTTATACCAAAAATGGGCATGATAGAAACAGTGAAGCGGTTTTTGCTGAAGGGGAAAAAAGTGACATGCTCTACATGGAAGTATTGTACTTACTATTATTTTAGCTAAATACAAAGTATGTGGCCAGGACTTACTGCCTGTCATTCGTGTCTTAATCAAGGATGCCTGAAATGCTGTGGAGCCCAGGACTTTTTGTCATTGTTTCCGCAGAGTTCTCTTGTCACAAGTCCAGAAACAGGCGCTGTTCCTACGGTAGCTTTAGAATAGAGACAGGCGTATGCACCTTCTTGCTGCTGAGCTGGAGACCATTTAAAAACCCTCTTGTTTCTTTATTTGAAAAGAACAAAACACACCAGATCACCACATGTGGATGTGTGTATTTTGAGAAGATTACCTTCAAATTTCGATGTTCAGAAACTGCCTTAAAAGAAAATTGGGATGCATACAAAGGGAAGCTGTGTCATAAAAGAGAAAAAAAGTTGTAGATGTATATATATATGTGTGTGTTTGTGTATGCATGCATATACAGATACGTACATGAATGATCATACACAAAGGCCAGAGATCTATTCTCACTGATTTTACCACCAAACCCCTCCAACCTTTTGTATTTAAAAGTAAAATAGCCAATGAATGGTCAGCTGTCTTATTTGAAAAGCAATATGGGCTGGGGAGTAGAGTCCTGAAATGTCTTTATTTTGGGGGTGGTTTTTTTTCTTTTTTTCAATAAACTTAAATCCAGCCCTGAACAGTTTCCAGAAAACACCACTGTAGACAAATGCTTGAATGCTGACCTCTAGACAAAAGTGTTAAAATAGCTGCTAAATGCAGTCCTGCTGAGATTTTGGAAAGCCTTGTATTCTTAAAATTAAAAAAATAGGTCTAGAACTCATCTTAGCCCACAACATTTTTAATTCAATAAGAGAATAAATTAGAAACAATCTCACTTAGGCCAAAGTAATCCCTGTACCTTTTACCAGGTCTTTCTGAGCCTTCTCTAAAGAATCACAACTAGAAGAAAAGCATTTCCAAAATGCTTTGTAGATGATTTATCAGATGCTTTGTTAAGTATTGTGAAGCATAGGCTTTAAGAACATACATAAGAGGGTCGCCTCATCTGAGAAAGAAAAGTCAATCTTCAAAACCACTAGTCCTGAAAACCTGCTTCAAAAGCATTGTCATAAACTGTCTGCTTGTGATCTGCTTATCTGATGCATTTTGAGCCATTCCATGGGGGATTCAGGGATCTTTCTTCCTGGCAAGATGAGCTGATTTTACACCACCTGATTATCGATGAAGAATGTCCTAATATTATTGTCCCTCACAACTGGCATGTGGTATTCAGAAGAAAGGCTGAGCTGAGTTGCTTGTTCATATCTTGAGCATGCTGGTACACAGATCCTTTTATTTGAGGCCCAGAACCTTAGCACTCCCAAGAGCCTTGGCACAGCCAAGCAGTGAGACCTGGAAAGTTACCCCAATTTGGCAAGAAGGCATACCTTTTGTAAGCCAGTGAGGAAGCTAAACCAGATGCAGAAATCTTATGTAATAGAAGAAAGTCTCTGTGCCTGAAATCAGGGTCAGTAGAAGTCAAAGAGCAAACTACTGTGAGGATAAAACGAAGAAAAGGGCAAATGTGCTATTGTAAAAAGAAAGCTTAGGAAACATTAGCTAAGGCTGCTGCTTGGAGAAGTGTAAGTGCTGTTGGCTTGAGTGTTTGAGAGGAGCAGAGAATGAGAAAATACTCCTGCTGCTTGTAACGTCTTACGTTTAGGAGAGGGCATGCCGAACACACCTCTTCTGGTATTACTAAGACTAAAAAGCCTGATTCTGTGAAACAGAACTATGTTGGATAAGCTGGTAATAACTTCAGTTGTATTTTTTCTGCATCAGATTCCTAAAGAAAGTCAATTCTGTTTAAAGTAGTAGGTCTTCTAATTGCATCTTATACTCTTGCTACTGTAGTCTATATAGGTAATGTCTTATATAAAATCTCTCTTTCTCTTTAAGGCACAAGGAAAAGGAAATTTGATGGACTACAAGAAGGTCAGTAAATTACATTTAAACCTGCTTTTTATTTTTAATATTATGTGTGACATTTTCAAGGTTATTCTTGACAGTTGAAACTTCCTTATTTAAGCCACTTTATGCATGTATGCATGCAGAGAGGAAAAGAGAGAGAATGGCTTGTACTATTACTTGATTTGAAAAGTCACTAACAGTTATCTATCCTGTATCAAACACAGCCATTTAATGATCATTTTTGCCATTATTTATTCCATTTAATTCTCCAAACTTAGTTCTGAAGTCAGCTTTTTGTCAGCTTTTGCTGTCTCCTTTTCTGCAGTTGTTTGCAGGTTAGCTGCCAGCAGTGATCTCTACTTATTGATAGAATATGCTGTTATTCTTTTCTTAATCTCACCTTAATACTCTGCTTCCTTTAGAAAAATACACACACCTGCACACAGGTGTTTTATAGCAATTTGTCTTTCTTTCAGTTCCTGTTACAGCTTTGAGCTAAGTCACCACAGCATTTGCTATGCAACTGCTCTGTAGTAAAAGCAGATGTGAATTAACTAGCTTATCAGCTGAAAGTAGCTGGAGCATTGTGGTGCTCTTGGAGAAGTGCAGGAGATGACATAGAAGGCTCCCTCCTTCAGTACTGGAGAACAGCTTGACTGTGGTGGAGGTAGAAGATGAGGTTTGTCCCCAAGTTACTCAGTGAGCACAAAGCTGAGTTGTTCCGAGTCTGAAGTACATCATGAGGGTCCAGTTAGCTTCCTCCAGCATCACTGGGAAATAATTGTTAAGTTACTGCTCTCACACAATTGAGAATCACCCTCTTGGAGTAGAGTTTAAAGAACATTACAGCTATGAATGTTTGCTGCTAATATGGTAAGTTAACATGTATACATGTTACAGGTCAGACTTCTAATGTAGTTATACCATATTAAGAAAGTTTGAATTGCTATTTTTTCTTCTTGTTCAAGCATGAAAAGGATCTCAACTTTAACTATTTAAAATCATCTTCATTTTGATTTGGTGTTTTGATTTGTTTTGTTTTTAACAATAGAAAAAGACTGATACAACTGTCACTTTCTAAATCATTGCTGAGAGTACTGAATTCTTTTCCTCAAATATGTGAAACACTCCTTTGAATGTTCAGACGATGCTACTTGCTTTTCTAACTATAGAATGGATTTCCTTCTTATAAGAGTTACAGTTGTGACATGCCCAGTGTCATTTCCGTAGTTTGAAACAAAAAAAAAAGTGGGAGGTGGGAGAAAGGCTTCTAAAGGCTTCTAAAATTGCTTTACTGAATTATGTATTTGTTGTTATATTCTACATTTTTACTTGCATGATTTCATATTTTGAATCCTTCATATGCAGTTGGAAAACTTAGTGTGACTGTGCAACTTGGACACTTGGATAGAAGGGAAGGGAAGGGAAGGGAAGGGAAGGGAAGGGAAGGGAAGGGA